AGTAATGACTGTATATACTGGACACCAGTTCAAATATGAGTGCAAGTTAAGAACATTAAAATTCCATTACTGTGAATGAAGGTACCAAGGGCTAAAACGTGTACACAGATAGTTTGCTACTTCACTTCAATAGTTCCGGCGGGGCGGGCTGAGCAAAGGCCTGCAATGGGCGCGCACAAAGGCATTCTGCGTTGCCTCGGCAACAGCCGTAATTATTAAAATACATGTAGTCTGATACCAAATTGCTTGGGCCTGGTGTCAACAGACAACTTCCTGGCAAAGACCTTCATAATGCTGGTGTAGCTATGCATACGTTAATTTCCATTTCTCCTCAATTTTTCTGGCCGTTCTTCCAATCTATCCAGAGGTAGTGGTGTAATTGCTCACTCTTGATAGCCATTTTCATATCTGTTACAGTGTTAGGTCTGCCTATTTACAACGTTGCATTCACAAGCTTTGCTCAACGTCGGAAAATCAACTGTCCATTTATCTTCTTCAGAGAGTTATTTACCCACCACGCGTGATGTGCTCTTACAATTCTACAAAGGGATGAGCTTTCATGAACTGGTCGTAGGTCGATCTTTTTCATCCGTGACATCCTTTGATATGCGGGTTTTTATTTTCATCCCGTGTGATATCCTTGGTGCCGCCGGCAGGGCTGTTACGGTACACCGCTGCCCACCGTTAACCCATCTGTTTCTCTGTCCAAAAGAATTGTCCAGATGCCAGCTTTACGGAAATTGATGGGAAAAGCCCTAAGGGATAAAAGGGCAAGAATTTTTCTGTCTCTTAAAGTAGTACACAGCACTCGAGCATGGCCAATCTCAACGGTGATTTTTGCAAGATATAAACGAGCAAAAATTCACCACAGCCTCGCTAATGATACACGCTGCATGTAATCGACGGAATTTGAGATGGAGTTCAAGTCGTCGAGAGTGCACAGAGTAATTTCCCTGAAGGAAAATGAAAGTCAGACAGGCTTTGCACGCACCCCAATCAACACTGTGTATGATCAGCTTCGTTTTGTAAACAAACACGAGGTTTATATTAAAAAAAATCTGAATGTATTCTTTTCTGTAAAGCACTGTTTTCTGAAATTACTGCTTGTAAGGAGAGCGTCAGCGCCCTTCCCATGTTTTGGGTCGGGGTAGGGCAAAATGGGATTCTTTTTCAAACAACGACGAAATCACCTCCAAGAGAATGAAGAGTACCATTTCTTAAGTGTTAGCGCTTTCAAGTTTGTTTCAAAAATTCCCCCCCCCCCAAAAAAAAGAAAATTGGTTCTGGACCCGCCCTTGATCAAGGAAGATCGACTTGCCGCTTTTATTTTGTAGCTTTTTTTCCCCTGATCACATCTATGCCCTGTTATGTGTGACAGCTCGAATAATCTTTAAAGGAATTGACCCGAGACGTATAAGCGAGGGTGCATTCTTGCGTTTCCAGAGTTTGTTGCTCGAAGTAATTAAATTTAAGGAGTTAAGAGGTCGATCATCAGCACATCAATAATAAAAACAGATCTGGAGTCCATTAGGGACGGTAAGAATAGCTGTCTGAAGTCGAGGCTGCAAGCCTATTGTGCTATTGCCTAAAAAGACTGAAGGTAGAATTCATCTTTGGTAGAATGGGGGATATCGACTTTTGGTCGCTGGTTGAACTGGGAGCATTCAACTGCAGTGCGGAAACTGCAAAGGTAAATTTCTGGTCATTAAAAAAAGTATTGTTTACGATGAGCTTACCCATATTTCAGCGGTTAGTGTGTGGCCTTGGGGTCGAAGCGTTGACCCTGTTCGGCCAGCTGGTTGCATTCCACAATTTAATATAGGTAAGACCATCCCTTGGTAAAACAAAAAGGAGCAATATTTTAAATTGGTTTTACTTCACTGACAGGCCTATTACTGTCGTACTTTTTTAATCCACCCTGATTGCGTTAACTTGATTTGTAAGGTGAAATGAATTTTATATAATTATGTCTCCCTATTATTGGTTGGATGCGCATTTGTTCCTGTCGGTGGTAAACAGTGTCGCAAGTTATGCGTTTCTTTTGTGCCCCAAAATTGAAAAAAAAAAACCCGGCCAGTGGCAAATGACCAGTGGCATAGCCACAGGGGGGCCTGGGGGGCGTACCCCCTACAAATTCTTGATGCCCCCTAGGTGCCCACACTAGTTAAATCCTATCTATGCCACTGGTCGTGACTCTTACCAAAGGGCCAAGGACGTATGGAAACAAGACATTATGCAAAACAACACCACTCAGTTGGCGCGCTTGCGCGCTAGTTATCGTTCGAATAACCCAACATCATACTGTGGCCGTAAAAAGCAATACATTCATACTTAAAGCACTAAGGGCGGCAGCTACACAAAAGAAAAACCATTTGCTCTACTTTGCTGATTTATAATCGTCAGATTTGCCAAATGTTAGTGGGCAGAAAATCAATTCCGCTTCGTAAATAATTCATCTGCAGACCTGTGCCTTCATTTTGGACAGGTATTACCATAATGTATGCTGCAACTGTTTTTCGTCTGTCCCTTTTTTTCCTCATGTAAAAGGTAAATTGTTTGCCATGTTTTGAGCTACAATCGATTTCTTTGCCGTCTAAAAGCATTCCATCCTTTTGTCAAAATGTATGTCCAGATGTTTTTTCATTTTCCAAAGGTAATTTAATTGTCGGTGTAAAATGCATGAAAATATAATTTAATTAGATATACTTGCTATTCCATTCCCCATGTTAATTCAGCCAATGCAATAGAACCAATGACAGTTGTCCAGTTTTCCCTTGTAAACCACTATGTTAACAAGCCTACCCCTTCGGGCACCATCCAGAAATTTGGCTCCATCATGCCCCCGTGGATATGCATTCCATCTTGATATCTGCAAACCTATTTATTTATTTTTTTTGGAACACAATTCCAATCCGCCTTGAGCAGAGGAACCCCATTAACGGTTGAAAAGAGCCATGTTGCTGGTGAGTGTTCATTTTGTTGGCAGCATTTCATATTCGTTTGTAAACCAGCGAAGTGCAGTTTCCACCAAAGAAGGCTCTGTTGCTAGGGAAATTGTGCCCTCTCTTGGTCCTGCTCAGGCAAGACAGTGTATTCGTGCACAATACAGAAAATATCCAATAGTGCGCCTCCAAGAGTTTCCAACGCATTGGCCAATCAGAAAGGGCGAAATTTGTCGACCCTCTCCAAACGCACATTGGGTCGACAAATTTCGCGCACTGTGATTGGCCAACGCGTTGCAAACTCTTGGAGGCGCACTATTGTAAAACGCTCATATTGGAACGCTTAACTGCTTTACCGCTGGAGCATGAGGTATGGAACAACTTGGCAAAAATCTCTGCCCAAAAACATATCTGGACTTGATACATGGTGTTGTTGTCAGGACTGTTTTAGATCTTGCAAGAAAATTATTCCGTTTATGAAATGGAACTTTTTTTTCTAAACACAAATTGATTGTGAATGAAAAATTGTTTTCAATGAAATACCGCACCGAGGGAACGAAATGTTATTTCGAGGGGACGAATTTTTAAAACTAAATTTTTGAACTTTTTTTCTCCACTTGTGTTTTGGGGCCTCAGTTCAAATGCTATACAGCGTATTCATTTCAGTTTATCTGAAGTTTTTGTATACCCGAGGGCAATTTTATAATTGAACTGGAATTGTTGCTGAGGCTTGTCGCTTGAGAATTTTTTCTACCTTCGAAAATAATACTGCAATGAATAGTACATGAAAATTAGTGTTGGCCTGCGTGGAACAGATTAGAATGAGAGAATTTTTTCTACGCAAACTGATAAACAACATGTGTAGAGTGAAACCAGACGCCTCAGTCTTTGTGTAACTGGGGGATGTCTGTCACAAGCGCTGTATAGTTATTCAGAAACGGGAAGTGATGTAGTCTATTAAACATTGCAGCGCCTGTTACATTTTGACACACCAGTTGTGAATCTCCATCACTTTGATTAACTGACGAGGGAAGGGAATTGAAGAGAAGAATTTCTCCTGAATTTGTCATTATTTCTTTCTAGGTGATGAGAGGCAAAACAGTGAAAAAACAGATTGTCTCGTGGGGAAAGTAAAATGTGTAATTAGTGTCACGTCCTTCGGAGATTCATGGGAGAACTGTGTGTCGATGTGACTCAATCGTAGCCAGTGACGGGTGTGTAAACACCCAGGTCCATTAGTTTTTTTTTCTGTGGGGGGGCGGGATAACGTCAAGATACGCGCGCCGGCTTATTAGCAGTCAGCCGGGAAAAACTACTCCATTTCTCCGTTCGGCCGCTTATTAATGAAACACGGCAGACTCAGAATGTTTGTCTGAATTACCTCCACGCGCGGCTTGGCACGGGGGCAACGAGACGGGCGGCACCTGCTTGCGACACGGCCCCGTGAAAGTGATTACTGCGGACCCCCATCTAAACCTCTCCTTCGATTTACCCCACCTGTGCATCTTGCGTGCTCTCTCATCGACTGGTAAGGAGTCAAGAGGGAATTATCTAACTGGACAGTGTCCGAAACCGATTGGTGATTAACGTATAGACAGGGACGAGATTTGCTTCAAACAGGCACTCAATCTGAAATCTGTCGTTTGGGATCTGCTGTCTGAAACGGGCATCGGTATCTTTATCCTGTACGAAAATTCCGATAAAATGTTGTGCAGTCAAGGGAAAAATGCTTACTCCTTGCAATCAAATTTGTTATATTTGGACCAAATATTTGGATAGGTCCAATCAACTTTGAGTTCTAAATTGATCGACTGAGAAGATACAGAGCTAGGTTTTATGAAGAAGTCTGTGTTTAGGCGAAGGGTAAAGCCCGCTAATATATACTCAGTGTTCTGGTATCTCATAACGCATGCACCTTGTACCTGTCAGGTTGCTGATTTGTTCCTCGCCCGACCGTACTGTGCAGGAATCGAGGGCCGGGGGAGTATTTCACACATTGGCGCTCTTATGTGACGGTGTAATTTCACGCCAAACTTGTCGAATCTCGTTAATATACAGGAGTTATCGCGAGGGTTCCCGTTGACGGTTCCCATTCACGATGGCACAGCATCTCCACGGCCCTGCCTCGATATTCCCCCGTGTGGCGTCTGCACTCCTCGTGGCTTGTCTGTTGCTGCTCAAGGAACCAGGTAGGCCTAAGGATTTTTCGTTTAAAACGTTTGGTTTTAACAATATTGGGAGTGTTTTTGTGCAGTCCTTGGACACAAAACCAGAACTTGTTTTATCCTGCATGGAGATTCATAAAACAAATGAATGAAAAGGTTTCTGATGATCTGTTGCATACTGCAAGTTTCTTTCCTGAAGATTAAGTCATTTCCAAAGCGTATATACATTTTGTGTTCGATAAACACCAGGGGTGGATTGGGGGAGGCCTATAGGACCCCCCCAAAAAGAGCCTCATTTCCCTTTTTCTTTGAAGAAGGGTGAGTTTTTGGTCTATTTCATTTTTTCTCATCCCAACGTGCAAAACCAACCAAAAAATCCCACCATCTATACCCCTCAGAAAAGCCATAAAAGGTTAATTTTTAAAATTTCCGAAAAGTCAGCCCCCCCCCGAAAATTTGGATCTGGATTCGCCCTTACTGTATCACACGGGTGTTACCAGAGCCACAGCGGTGTCTTCCTCGATTCATTTTTTGTAAATGAATTTTTTATGAGGTTCAGTCAAATCTTATTGCCGTTCAGTCTCATGTGGCAATATTCACGGGCAACTTGAAGGCGAAACTGACGCATTGCCAGCTTAAGGAACTACACATTTATCCGATAATTCGGGAAGTTCCTGAGAAGATCAAACGACTTTAAAAGTTCCGCGTTTTTTGCCTGTAACAAGAGGCCTTTTTTATGGCCTTCGTTTTCTAATCGTCTTCAATCATCCAGCACTCGTTACGGTTGAAAACAACATTGCACACAAAGTACAATGGGTCACGTTTTAACCATTACAGGCAATGTTCCTAAAATAACCTTTTACCAGGAGATATATCATTTGATAGGCCTGACAGGCAGTGCCGGTCATTATTAGAAATAAATAAATTTTATCATTATGGCCTTCAGTATCAGACATGCAGACGCACAGGGGTGATGTTAATTTACAAGTCATGAGATGGAAAAAACATGTTTTCATAAAATCATGTCCTACAGTTAAGCCTTTCAGGCGGAGTACTTTCAGCCCGTTCTATGTTGTGAAACACTTTGAGAATTTTTTCATCAAATAAGGATATGCGTGGAGCTCTTGTGGGGGTTACGTATCTTACGTTCCAGTCGGATCAGCGCCTATCTTCCGGTGTTCAATTACTGAAGCCTGCTTTCACGTGAACAGTTGAAGGCTTAGCACAGACTCCACGCAAGGTTTAGGAATCGACTTCAGGAGAACTGTTCTTGTTGGTTGTCGGCACATGCAAATGAAATAGACTTATGCTTGTTTTCTGTAAAACAGGTCATGGATTTTGAGATAGTAAAGAGAATTGTCATGCAACCATAAAAGACTAATGTGACATTTTGCAGTGTTTAGCACGGGATGATGTGAGAAATTTGTTAACAGAATTTTGTTTGGCGGGAATGGGGTAGAAGATATCTGAAAGACCTGGAAAAATGTGGTGTCATAGTCCAATAGTTACGGCGTCGACAGTATGCGACACGTGCGACAGTATGTGGGGTCGAACCCAACACGGTATCGCAGTATTTATGTCCAAGCAACTCGACTGCAATTTCCTAATCCGGGTAATGTATAAACGGGTGAATTTGGAGTGGGAAAACTATTACAGTGGACCTGCGCTGCTCCCTTACAATTCATCTCGTGGCCCGGTGAACACAGGTGCAAAACACCGCACCGTCTCAGGGAGTCTTGCTCTATTCCCGCCAAGTTGTGCATGTAATTAGTATAAGTCAGGACTTCGATGGGGTTTACTGTTGGACAAGCATGGTAACGCACTTTTTTAATGAGCTGCAATGAACCGTCCTCGTAATTTGGAATCGATTCGTGGAAGGATTGAGAAACAAATCAATGATGTCACAAGGGGTTCCCAAGGGAACCATGCCTCTCACATTTTAGGCATGAATTAGGTACTAATCGATTCGGCAGTAACACAAGGACTCAATCAACTCTTTTCCTCCCTGCCAACCTGTTGGAATAGTCTTTGACATTTTCAAAGCGCCATTATCAGCTTCCGCACACGCCTCCCGTTCCCAGGGGCTTTGTGAGCTACACTCCTGCCAAATGAGATTGAACGAGCCAGCTGGAAAGAATTGCAATTAGTGAGTGTGCGAACGAGCCTGATGCTGCGCAGAACGGTACCCCAGCCCCTCATCGTTTATGATAATTGTACTAATAATTTGAACACACTCAGACACACAGATTCAAAGGGAATTTTTATAAAGAAAACGTAACCATTTGTACCTTTGTATCATTGGCAGACCCAGGGGCCAAGAGGGGCCGTGCCTCGGCTTTTGTAGGAAAAAGAGACGGTTCTGTTATGAAAGTTAATAAAAGAAATCTTTTTCCAACTTCATTTCTATCCCGCCATAAAGCATATCAAAAGTCCCCCTCCCTAATCTAACTTCACCCCTGAGACATGGCCAAAAGGTTAAAGAGACTGAAGACATTCGTCGTAATTTTCCCCCTCCTCGGAAAATGTTTGCCCCTCCTCTGAAGAAAATTTTTTCTGGGTCCACCTTCGTTTATTATCCGCATGATTTATATGTAGTGCACCATACTTTCAAAATGTAATGTCAGAGATAACACTGTTAGCATTGCATCTGTTTGTGTTCTTCTGAATTCAGTATCGCCATGGCTTGTGGATCGTACAGTAGGAAATTAGCCGTCCTGGTAAAAACAGAATACATTCAGCCAAACTTCGAGGGAAGAACATCCTCTGTCCACAGGCCTTGCAATCTCTACTACCTTAATTTCATTCAAAATGTGATTTGACGGTTGAACGCGTCTTTCCAAGCCAAAGCATTCGCACAGTGCATTTTGTGTTTACAGAATTGCCATTGCATCTACCGTACATGAATAGCGTAGGGACTTGGTGCTTCTGTGGCGTTTTATAACCTTGGGTGCATCTTCGGCGTTTAACAACTCCATTTGGCTAAGAGCTTACTATTTTACACTACAAACACCAAAAGACAGTATTTCTCAAAGGCTCTTTAAGGGTCACAGGTTACACAGCTTGAAAAAGAAAACGAACTGGGCTGTGCTAGACGAATGACGTTGAAATCTTGATTCTGATTGGCTGATAGAGTACAGCTCATTTGCATGCACGTCATAGTCCAACATAAAAAACCCTGACGTTTATAGAAGGGAGTCCTCAAACCTTCTTCTGATAAGCTTTAAAGTTTGCTTCTTTAAGACCATAAGTGGAAACTGATCGCGGTGCACTTCTTTCATAGCTGCATAGATTTATTCATAGAGTGTATTTTTTGTTTGTCATCCAAGTTTCATGTATGATGGTGCAAACTGTGGTGAATTATTTGGGACAGTGTAAAAATGGTGACAATGTGTGCAATCTTTATCCCGCTCGAGTAGCAGAATGGAATCACCTCTATCGTCTTGGTGTATGTTTATAAACTGTGCTCGCTTTAAGGGTGCAATGAAAGACACAAAACTTCAACCATCCCCATGAGGAATTGCCAGTTTTCTTGAGGGAATTTTAGGTGCTGGGATTTTCAGTGTAACAAAAAGTGTCGCGAAAGGGGAATGTAAGAGTACATCGGGGCGGTTCAGATTGTTGCATTGAGATTTGTCTCTCGTCTTAGCCATTTTTTTATCCACTAAATTGGTCCTCCTACCAACAGACAGAACCAAAGAACGTTCCCATTTCTCTACCTGAAATGTGAAAATCATAAATAAATGTCATAAATATTCCTTTCCTACGTCCATCCCAGGGCGAACCTAGAACAAAATTCTGGAATTTTTGTGGTCGTTTTGAGGGTTAATAATAATAATTATTATTATTTTAATCTGTCCTTGAATGTGTCAAGTGATCTCAATAGTCTCACAGATTCCAGTAAAGAGTTCTAAAGTTTGGGTGCTTCAATCTGAAAGCTTCTCTCCCCCAACAATAATGAGCCATAGTTTCCTTGAGTAGATTGCTTTTGGATGACCGCAAACGCCGATGACCTGGAGCATAGAACTAGAAAAGATCACCCAAATAAGCTGGAGCATCACCCTGTAGGATCTTATAAGATGATGAGACACGGGTTGTACTGGACTCGTTGTTGGATGGGAAGCCAGTGCAGGTCGGCGTGGGAGACGTTTTTGTGATTTTTTACACGTCTTCAGAAGGAATGGGGGAGTATTCCACAGAAATTGCCCGTCTCTCCTCATGTAATTTTCTTAGCTTGAGTCACTTGGCACGATGCCATAATCAGGAAAAAATCACATTTTCAATTTTAAACTGATGCTTCAGCATTTTCCGGAAAATGTTTCGTAAATCATTTTCTGAAGCGACCAGGTTTATTTTGCGTCTTGGACGCATAATGTGATATCCTCCATTTAGAAAATTGTTTATTCTTTTCCCTGCCGGATTGATTAAAAAACGAAGATGGATAATCATGATACGTGATCAGAACGGCCACAAAAGCTAATGCATCGGCCAAGGTCAACATCAGCTGACGTCAAAAGTAATTGACTCAAAAATAATTAATAGGGTGCAACTACTCAGTCATTTCAAGTTGATTACCAAGCGCAAATTCATGTAAAATTTAGGAGAGTTTTTTCAAAGCCCTTTTTTTCCTCTTTGACGCAAGTTGCGCTCATTTCCGATGAGCCGAAATCGAAGGAAGTCAGAGCATGAGCGAAGCGTGTATATAGTGATGGAAAAGTGGACTGGTCGTGACAGCAAGTGGAAAACACATGGAGTAAAAAGGACTAATCAGACAGGTGCTCGAACATGAGTAAATAGACCCGACAGCGGTGAGAACTTCTGGGTCATGGATAAAGCCGGAATGGGAGGATCGATTGTCAAATAAATCACAGCAGGAGTGGTTGAACAAATGAGGCTAAAAAGACCTAAGGCCTCATCTACAATGAACTCGTTCAATTATCCTGCCAAATGTCCTTAAATCTTTCTTTTCAGGCTACTCAGCGGGCTCGTTTGATTTCAGAGACAGAACAGTAAATTTTATTTTATTT